AGTAGCCCACACGAACCACAGTCTCTTCTAACCTGAAACCAGAAGAACTAGATGGTGCCTGGCTACCGCTACCAACTGTTCTGTCCAGGGACACAATAGAAGGTCCCAGATAGAATGGGAGAAAAATGTAGAACAAAATTCAAATTCCTAAAAAAAAGACAGATCTACTGGACCTCTCGAGACTAGAGGAACCCCTGAGACTATTGCCCTCAGATACCCTTTGAGCTTGGCACTGAGGCTACTCCTGGAGGTCACCTTTCAGCCGGATAATAGAATGGCTTATAAAAAGTACCACCCATGAGTAACTTGGTCCCTTAAACAATGAACTATATGAGACCAAATGGTCAACATTTACCCAAAAGCAAAGATGAGAAGGCAAGGAGGGGAAGGGAACCTAGAGCAATGGAAGCAGAACAGACAGAATGGAAACAATGAGAATGTTGACACATTTTGAAAATTGTAACTAATGTCATGGAACAATTTGTATAAAAATTGTTAAATGGGAGCCTAATTTGCTGTATAAACTTTCGCCTAAAACACACACATACACAAAGAGTGCCCCTTTATTTTCTGTAGAGTCCCTGTGTGGTGCAAACCGGTAACTCACTCAGCTGCTAACTGACAGGTTGGAGGTTCGAGTTCACCCAGAGGAGTCTCTGAAGAAAGGCCTGGCCATCTCCTTGTGAAAAATCCACCATTAAAAACCCATGGAACATAGTTCTACTCTGACACACATGGAGTCGCCATGAGTTGAAATCAACTTGAGGGCAACAGGAATTTCTTCCAAGCCTCTGCCACCCATTTGTAAGTTTTGACGCAGGCACTTTGTTGCTTGATGTGTGAGAAACTATCTTTTTGCATGAATCTCAGTATCAAAACTTAACACAGCTTCATCTACTTGTATTTTCCTTTCTTGGGTCCCTTAAGTTGTTGCTTCCCAAAATGTGAAATGCATTCATTCCTCCAATGAGGAACATTTAGTTCACTAATAACAATTGCATGCTTTGCTACTCTTTTTTAATGCTTTCTGCTTACACAATTACATTTTGTTTTAATGCCAAATCATAATGTAAACCCCAACCATGTGGTGCCCACAATGCACATGAGTCAGTTGAACTGAGGAACATAGGAATGACTACGACCTGTGGTCAGAGGAGGCCTCTCCAAGGAGATAGCATTTAATGCCAAGAAGCTAGCTGTTTGAAGGGTGACAGGAAGAGCATTCTAGGCTGAGAGAATAATAGCATATTTTAAAAGAACAGCATGTTAGATGTTCAGACAGGAAGGAGTTTGCTGTGGAACTCAAAGATTGATGTGTCTGGAGAACACTAAACAACAGAGAGGGTGGTGCAAGGAGAGATTGCAAAAAGAGGCAGGGGCAAGATTATGTAGGACTTTGTAGGCCTTCTACAAAGACGGGCCACCACCCATCTGTCAGTTTGTCATACTGTGTGTTGTACAGTTTGTCAGTCTGTTGTACTGTGGTGGCTTATGCATTGCTATGGTGCCGGGAGCTATGTCACTGGTATTTCAGATACCAGCAGGGGCACCCATAGTGGATAGGTTTTAGCAGAACTTCCAGAGTAAGACATACTAGGAAGAAAGGCCTGGTGACCTACTCTCAAAAATTAGCCAATGAAAACCCTATGTATGGAACACAAGAGAATATTGTCTGATATACTGCTGGAAGATGAGCCCCCTAGGTTGGAAGGCACTCAAAATACAATGGCTGCTCCAATGGACTTGCAGGAATCCACAACTTGAGCAACAATCCTGCATAGCCTCTTCTCAAATCCGTTTTGCACATCATCTCATTAAACTGAAGAAAGAGTTTTTAGCTGAGAACACTTGTCAAACTAAGAACTAGAAAGGTTTAATATGAAGGACAAGATAAAGAGCAGATAAAGCCTATTTTGTTTTTTGACAGGAGCCCTGGTGGCCCAGTGTTTAAGTGCTCAGCTGGCAGTTTGAAGCCACCAGCTGCTCTGCCGGAGAAAGCTGTGGCAGTGTGCTTCTGTAAAGATTATAGCGTTGGAAACCCCATGGGGCAGTTCTACTTATACGGTCACTATGAGTCGGAATCGACTGGATGGCAATGGACAGTTTTTGTTTAGTTTATTGACAATTCTTTGGTAAGATGGGGGAAACCACTTATTCAGGAAACTTAAGAATGTTCATCACTTGTACCACTTCAGTTTTCAAACCTGAAGATGAGGGGAGGTGTTTTTATTACAAAATGATGGTAGTTATAGCAATAGCTGCCACTTAACACTCAGCTCACAATCAGCCTGCCCACCCATGCTTGTTGTTAGGTGCCGATTTTTGAGCCCATGGTTGCAGCCACTGTGTCAATCCGTCTTGTTGACCGTTTTTTCACTGACCCTCTACTTTACCAAGCATGATGTCCTTCTCCAAGGACCGGTGTCTCCTGATAACATGTCCAAGATATGGGAGATGAAATCGTGATCACCATCCTCATTTCTAAGGAGCATTCTGGCTATACTTCTTCCACGCTAGACACCTCTATTAATCAACATAGCATCTAAAAATAATGGAACTAACCACTGAGTGCAATGGAAAGAAATTGATGTATAGCAGATATGGCCCAAGCCTGGAAGAAATGACCCCAGAGGAAAAAACTAATATAAGGAACAGAAGAGAAAATCTGGGTTAGAGGAAGAGAAGCAAGGTAATGTAAAGGAACCAAATTCTTCTTTTTTCCTAGTGAGACTGGCCTATATAGATACTGTCTTGAGTTATACATTATACATGAAGAAGTAGAACTATAAGCAAATCACTTAGCATTATGGTGGCAATCACCATTACAAAACTCAGAAACTTTTAAAGCCTTTATCTCAGGGAATGGAACTCAGCAGGGCTGGGTGGGCAGGGAGATTTTTGAATTTTTTTCTACAATTGAGGGATAGGTGCTAAAGCTGGCTGTCTTAAAGGCCAGTTAACATGACTTTCAAACATGTTTGAGTACCTGATCCCTGTTCTCCACAGCACTGACTTCGGGAATGTACTTGACCTGAGCTTGGTTAGACTGAGAAGGCTGAATGTAATGGATGAGAAATTTGTTCCAGCCAAATTGTAGGGGGTTCTCTATCCTAGCAATGGCACTATATAAAAAACAAAAAAACAGTTGCTGTGAACTTAATTCTGACTCATGGCAGCCCCACGTGTTGCAGAGTAAACTGCTCCAAAGGGTTTTCAAGGCTGTGACCTTTTGTAAGTGGATCACCAGGCCTTTCTTCTGAGGCCTCTGGATAGGTTTGAACTGCCAACAGTTGGCAGTTGAGTGCTTAACCATTTGTACCACTCAAGGATGCCTGTAATCACACTATACAGTCTATAATTCCAATCTAGGTGCATTGGTTCTCCAGCCTCCTTTACATCAGGCTGGGTTTGAAAGGAAACAGCTGAGCTTTGGGAAGGACTGATGTGATGCTCTCATTCAGATGTGACCTTTCAAACTTCGTGCCCCCACAGATGAGGATGTGGCTACTAACACCTCCACGTGTCTCAGAGGACGGCCTTGCTCTGTGTTGACATCCTTTGAGGTCCTTAGAGAATAAACCTGGCTCGATTTACCCAAGAGATGTCCTATCTTTAGATCAAGAGGCAACTACCGACAGTGGGAAAAATGGTGGTCACACAATCCTCAACAGATTGAGTCTTAAAATTACCAGTAGCATGTTATTTACTTTATAAATGAAATAATACCAAAAGACAAAAAAAAACAAAACAAAAATCATAGCCTTCTCTAAATAAACTATGGCCTGAAAGGAGTGGGCTCTTTTTACAAAAAACAAGTATTTGTGCCATGTTGTTAAACAGGAAATAAAACATAACCTGAGTTCAGTGCTCCTCCAGATTTATTTTACTGTCACTTCAAAGCACTGTTACAGGAACATAGAAATATACTGTTATAAAATCAGGAAAATAGGATGCCCTTCTCAGAATTCTCACTACTTCCCTAACTACACACAGCCAGTGCAAACTCCACATACTAGCGAGTTTCCCTCCTTGTTAAGATTACAATACGCCTAATGGCAGGGACCCCATTTTATACTCGTTTTACATCTCTTCTTACAAGGCAGCGGATGCACTGAAAGCAAGCTGGAACAACGCAAGTTTAACAGTGAATTCAGGGAGACCGTATAGTACAATGGTTAAAGTGTGTGGGCTTTGGTAACAAACAGATGGATATTGTAATTCTTGATACTTTCTAGACCTTGGCTAACTCATTTAACTCTAGGAAAATTTAAAAATTCATTCAAGTACTTAGGATGTGTTAGGTATATAGAGGACCTGGCAGTGAACAAAGCAGACAATATTCCTGTCCAAAAGTCTTCAGCAGTCTGGAAGACAAGAAATTTGATACATCGTGGAAAAGTTTATTTGTAAAATAAAAATAGTATCCATTTCCACGCATTATGTGGATTAGAGGAGATAATCATGTAAAGCCCTCACTCAGCTCAGTGCCTAGCAGATAATTAGCCTCCCTCCTCTTCCAAAAGGCCAGCTCATCTTGCCCCTCTGCCCAGAGCCTACCAAGCGCCTACTTGTCTGTGTGAGGGAAGAGCCCCGGCCAGGGAGGCTGTGCCGGGTCACCGGCTGATAGGAAGCCGAGGGCAGCAAGCACTCGCCCGGCTGGAGCCTCTGGTAGGCCTCCGCTGGCTCTCCATAACCCATTACTGCCAGAACCTAGGGCACCAGCGCCGGCAGGCCTCACTCAGGCCCGAGCTCCCATTGGCTAATCTCCCTCGGAAACACACGCTTTTTCCCGCCCTCTCACATGGATGTCCAATGAGCTCCTCTCTGCTACGCCCCAGCCCGCCCCTGCCCGCCCCTGCCACCCCGCCTTCCTGTCGGATTCGCGCCCTCGGGCCCTCGGGGGCCGTGATGGAGGCGGTGCGCTTGCGCGCTCGCTCCAAGGCTCTCCTCCCTGGGGGAGGAGCGAGTGGGCTGGGGCTCGGGCCGATCGCACGCGTTCCCCCGGGTGAAAGGACTACAGCAGCGGCGGCGCTGGGCGTGGCCGGGCTCCAGGGCTGGTGGCCGCGCGGCAGTGGGCCTGCGAGAGACTGAGAAGCTGCGCGCCGCTCCGGCTGGGTGCGGCGGGGCCGGCCGAGCGGAGTCCGCGCGCGCCCGCCCTGAGCTGCCAGCTCCGGCGGCTGCCCTACTAGCCCGCGGCAACGTCGCGCCGGGGTCTCCAGCATGACGGAGCTGAGGCAGAGGGCGGCCCGCGAGCCGGACGCACCGCCCGAGGACAAGGTAGAGGAGGTGTCGGGGTGGGCGCGGCTCGGGGCCTCGGCGTCCCCCGAGGCCCGCGGGGGCGCGCGCAGAGGGGTCGTCACACTCTCGCCCTCTGACCCTTTGTCGCAGCCGACGGCGGCACTGGGCCTGGGCAGCACCGAGGGTCCTGGGATGTGGGACCCAGCGGAGCGCGCGTCCGGCACAGCAGATAGCGGAGCCGGGATCCCCAGACTCGGCTTGGGGTCCGTTTACGGAGTGGTATTACCCGGGCGCAGGAAGGAGCGCGCGGGGCTGCGCATGGCCGCTGGCCAGGGCACTATTGGGAGTCCCCTTCTTCCCCACTTCTCCGAAGCCTTCCTGGGTGTGAAGATGTCGCGACCCCGCAAAGCGTACTCTAGGAGGCGGCTTCTCTGAGCACAACTTAGGCTCTCCAGTCTCTTTTAAAATTTGTTATTTCTTTTTTGCGGGGCGGGGAGGTGTCAAGACAAAAGCCATAGGGTTTACCTTCTAGAAGATTTAAATCCCTTCTTGAAAGTTAAACTCTTGACTTTAAGCAGAAAGGTCTCTTGACTCACGCAGTGAACCAGCTCGTTAGCTCTCAGGTGTTGGAAGGTACGTTCCGAAATGATGGGCTTGTTGCCTCCAAGTGTGGGCATTGGTTGGGTAGAGGAGGAGGGTAAAAAGGAGGCCATCTTGGCAGGGACACAGCTGGTTGCGGGGTGAGGGGGAGAGTAAACTCCTTCGGTTGAAATGAAAGGTTTGATTAGGGGAGTTGAAGGTGGAGCGTGGTTGTGTTTGGAGGACGTCGAGTGACAGTGTTGGGACTTCGTGGTAGTTTTAGTGCTTTTCGAGTAAGCGGTGGTCAGGAGCAGTGTATTTGGAAAATTAATCTGGCAGTGATGTGTAGAATGGATTGGAGGGACTCTGGGCCAGAATGAGAGTTTAACTCAGGGATTGCCAAAAGGTGACCTGCAGGTGTTTTATTTGGCCCACATGTTGCTGTAAACATTAGATTTCCTCTACCCATCTGAATTTCTTGCCTATTTTGGGTAATTGGAAAAGCAGCCATCACTCTCCACTTGATGGTTGGCTGGAGCTGTTGCCTTGCACTAGGCCCCCAGCACTTGCTATGGAGCCTGTAGTTTTTGATTACTAGAGGAGAGAGGCATTAGAGAGACCTCAGGAAGAAGAAAGCATGAGATTTGGCAATAGGGTGTCAATGCAGCAGTTATACTCAGAGTAATGTTGACAAGAGTAAGGAAATGTGTGGATACACTGTCAGGGGCTTGTTTGAGGTGAAAGATAATGGAGTTGTAACATTTTAGTTGTTGCTACTAGCAGTGGATCATCCAAGGAGAACTGCACGTATTGATTCTTAAACGTTGAGAGGATTTTGGACTGGGGGTTCAGATTTAGGAGTCACCTGCAGAGACTAGGTTGGTCTGTGTAGCCCAGTTTAAGGTTTTGGGTGAGAGATCATACTTAATGAAACTTTGCAGGCCTAAACTCGTTGTTGACTGGATTCTGACTTGTAGCGACCCTGTAAGACAGAGTAGAACTGTCCCATAGGGTTTCCAAAGAGCGGCTGGTGGATAGGAACTGCCAGCCTTTTGGTTAGCAGCCAACCTGTTAACCACTGTGCCACCAGGGCCTCTTGTGGGCCTAGAGAGTGTGAAAAACAAAACAAAAAATCCAAACCTGTTGCTGTGGTGTCAATTCCAAAATAGGCGACACCATGTGTTACCGACTAGAACTACTCCATAGGGTTTTCTTGGCTGTAATCTTTAAGGAAGCAGATGTAGTTGAGCACAAACTGTTGCGCCACCTGGGGACATAATAACTATACTTACTAATGGTTAAAAACGTAAACCGTGGGGGTATTCCTTGGATCCTTCTGCAGAGATAAACTGGTGATTGATTATTGAATATCATCTCCTGTTTTAGGTATAGAGGCTATGAGGCGCTCTGCAGATGGAGGTGCCTTAATCGTTACAACTACACTTACCCACTTACACAGCATAGAATGCCCATGGTTGTGAGGTCCATTAGTTGCATGTGGTTTTCTGAAACACAGCAGCTACTGTGTTTCGTTGAAAACCTCAGGTAGTCCATTAGCACAGAACAAGGCAATCAGCCCTGCCTCCCCATCAGTCAGCTTTTCTAAATTATCATGGGTAATTTTTACTAAGGACACATTTTAAGAACTGTGAAATGCATTATTTGCCTTTGACGTGGGTATATAGTAGAATTTTTTAAAATCCTGATTTATTCTGTTTTGTAGTTTGGAAAAAACCTACTTCCATGATTCTGGCTTTGCCAATATCTTTGTGGTAGAAGCCAAAGAAATTAGAAATAATAAAACAACGAATGTCTTTTTAGGGAAATGAATTGTGTAATGGGACTGACTTTCTTATTTCATAGCAGAGGAATTCAGAGAACAATTTCAGGTCAGTTTTTTAAAAGAACTGGAACGAATTTTAAAGATTCATTAAAATGTTACAGTTGCTAAACTGCTGTGGCAAACTTGTCTGGTAAATAAAGCAGACAGTCATTAGTTTCAAAATAATCTGCAGAATGTGTTTATTATAAAAGTCAAAGTATTTTAATATATTTAGCGTCTTAGAATGGAATTTTCAAAGCCAATTGCTAATAAAGGAAATGTTCTCCTCTGGGAACAGTGCTTATAATTTTAGAATCCCAAAGCAGTATAGTTGCCAAACTAAGAAATTTGGAATTTAAGCATTGGGAATGATCCCGCCCAACCATGTTTTTCTCATGGAGATTAGGAAAGAAAAGGATGAGACATGGGCCTAAAGATTGGCATCATAAACCTTATGATTGAGTTCCCATTTCAGGAGACTTTATTTTGGAGCTTAGAGTGAAGGTTCTAGGGTTTTCTGCTTTACTTCGATGCTGCAGTGCTGTTTAGGGCATTACATGTTTCAGACTTCCTTTCTAGATAGATGAGACAGCATAGAGGAAATAGTGACATCTTTTAGAAAGGGGAGTTTAAATTTTAACTGAAGAGTGCTTAGGAGCAGGGGCCTTAAAATTTAGCTAGATCCATCTTTAACCTGGACTCTGCCACTTAACCAGCTGTTTAACTTTGAGCAGATCACTTAGTATTTGCATAAGCCTCAGTTTGCACATCCCTAAAATGGGAGTGATAAAATAGCATCTGCTTCATAGGATATTTGTGTGGATTAAATGAGTATGTATGTTATGTGCTTTACACATTGTAATAACTCAAATGTAAGATGTTGTTACAGATTAAAATGTATTTTATAGGAAAAAACTTTAATGTTCACCTTTCACTTTTTTTAAATTAAAAAATACTGTGTTTTTGTGAAAGTTTACACAGCAAATTAGGTTCTCATTTAACAATTTCTCTATGTATTGTTCACTGACATTGCACATGTTTTCCATAATATATCATCTTTTTCATTATTTCCATTCTGATTGTTCTGTTTCTGTTAATCTAGTTTCCCTGTCTCCCCTTACCTTCTCATCTTTGGTCTAGGGAAAATGTTTACTGTTTGGTTTCATTTAGATGATTATTTATAGAGGAGCACAGTACTCACAGGTGATATGAGCCAATCTGTCATTTGGCTGAAAGGTGACATTTGAGAGTGGTTTGAGTTCCAGGTTCAAAGGGTAGTCTCGAGGTTTCTCTAGTCTCTACCAGTAAGTCTGGCCTTTTAGAAATTTGAGGGTTTTTTTTGTACTTTCAATAAAAGTTTGCAGAGCAAACTAGTTTCTCAATATACAGTTAATACACATTGTTTTGTGACATTGGTTGCCAACCCCATGATATATCAACACTCTCCCCGTCTCGATCTTGGATTCCCCATTATCGGCTTTCCTGCTCTCTCCTGCCTTCTCATCCTTGACCCTGGACTGGTGTGCCCATATAGTCTTGTTTTGTTTTATGGGCCTGTCTAATCTTTGGCTGAAGGGTGACCCTCAGGAGTGACTTCATTACTGAGGTTTAAGGGTGTCTGTGGTGGCCATACACTCAGGTTTCTCCAGTCTCTGTCAGACCAGCAAGTCTGGTCTTTTTTTGTGTGTGCGTATGTGTTAGAATTTTGTTCTACATTTTTCTCCAGCTCTGTTTGGGACCCTCTGTTGTGATCCCTGTCAGAGTAGTCAGTGGTATTAGCCGTGCACCATCTAGTTGTGCTGGACTCAGCCTGGTGGAGGCTGTGGTAGTTGTGGTCCATTAGTCTTTTGGACTAATCTTTCCCTTGTATCTTTGGTTTTCTTCATTCTCCCTTGCACCAGACAGGTTGAGACCAGTACAGTATCTTAGATGGCCCCTCACAAGATTTTAAGACCCCAGATGCTACTCACCAAAGTAGAATGTAGAAAATTTTCTTTATAAACTTTGTTACGCCAGTTGAGCTAGATGTTCCCCAAGACCATGGTCCCCAGAGCCCTCAGCCCAGTAATTTGGTCCCTCTAGGGAGTCTGGATTAGGAATTTGAGTTTTGTTCTATGTTTTTCTCCCATTCTGTCCAGGACCATCTGTTGAGTCCCTGGTTGGACTGGTCAGTAGCAGTAGCTGGGCACCATCTAGTTCTTCTGGTCTCAAAGTAGGTGAGGCCATGGTTCATATGGGCTATTAGTTCTGTGAACTAGTTTCTTCCTTGAGTCTTTGGTTTCCTTCATTCTCTTTTGCTTTGGAGGAGTAGAGATCAATAGTTGTATCTTAGATGGCTGCTCACAAGCTTTTAAGACCCCAGACGCCACTCACCAAACTAGGGTGTAGTACATTATCTTTATGAAGTATGTTATACTAATTGACTGATTGCCCCAAGTCTTCAAACCCAGTAATCCAGTCCTGTGAAGTGTTTGGTTATGTATAGGAAGTATCTGTAACTGTGCTGCCTATATGGTTTATTATGTATATGAATATATATGCAGCACACATAAACATGTATACACATATGCCTATAGATATACCTGTATATGCATGTCCATATATTCATATGTGCCTTCCTGTATACATATATGCATAC